TGGTTTTATCAATATGAACTAGAGAATTTCATGTTGTTTCTAGAGCAAAGAATCTTCTCACCGCCCTCTGGCAACTGCTCTTATCTCCGACCTCTCACACAAATGAACCAAAAAGACAAAGTCTTTTCTCCCAATCTCTTTCAAAGCCACTAATCAATTTTACCGTGCTTGGAAGTACATGATTGTACTCGTGTTCACCATCGGATGAAGTGCAAGGGCTAGAATACTGTCACGGATATGCATGCATAATAAATCCTTAGCACTCGTTTTGAACACTAACGATTATCGATTGCACTCTTTTAACGATCGATATGCGAGTTATCGGTGTAATTGTTTCAGCCCTAGTTGAGAGTATTATTTCTCATGGACTATAAAAATACATGTATGCACCAGAAGCGTTGATAGCCAGCTCAGCAACCTAACGCAAGTTATCAGCCAGCTCAGCAACCTAACGCAAGTTATCAGCCAGCTCAGCAACTTAACACAAGTTTTCAGCCAGCTCAGCAATCTGGCCCGACTGGTGCGCATGCACGAGTCAAGCGGGCACGAACCCTTCAAGATACTGTGCAATGTCTCCTGCATTGTCATTGCAGTTTTGAAGTTTGAGCTTGTAGCTTGCCGAACACTTGTTCCCACGTGGTTTTCTACCCACCCACCCACTACCTCAACTCACGCCACGTCCTTGAAAAAGCTCTATAATCCGCACTTCAGATTTTGATATTTCTGGCAACCTAACTTGATGGGTATCGGTACATACAAGACGTTACCAATGGTTACTGAAAAGTTGAGAGGCACGGCTGAAGTTCTACAAAAGTTACCTAGTTTTTTCTTCACTCAGAACTGATACCATCTAGAAGCTCTGTGCTGGTGCAATGATACAGTGCAGTTCATGAAAAGTAGTTGAATGACACCATACATACATACCGTTAAGTCGCGGATAAACGCCGGGCTTATAAGCACATAAGCCGCTTTCTGCATCAGGCTTTAATGCAAACCAGGCTTGTATGCAAACCCTGCTTATATGCTCCACTGGTATTTTTGCCAGGCTTGTATGCACACCGGCCGATCCGGGCTTGCATAGAAGCCACACGCGTAGATCTACCACTGACTACCGGTATGGCGGCAGTTTTACTATGCACTGTAGTCTGTACATAGCGCATGCACTCTTGACCTACCAGATCCGCGCTTGCATAGAAGCCAGGCTTCTACGCGCGACAGGCTTATATGCATTTGACCCGTTTGGTTTTCAGGCTTCTATCCGCGATGTGCTTGTATGTTAACCCGGCTTTTATCCGCGACTTTACGGTAATAATTATGCATGGAGTGCTGCAGCATGCAGCTAACACCCTGGAAAATACAGCACATTTAAATCAGTACCCAATACGTACGACCCCGGGCACCTGGAAATGTGTACTCCCCCCCCCCCCCTCTCCTCTCTTCCCTTCCACCCTCCCCTCCCCTCCTCCCCCTCTCCTCCCCCCCTCCCCCCCCACACACACAGCAACACACTCAGAAACCTACCAGCATAACTCAGCGATGATAGGAAAGCAACATTTTCTGCCAGTGATGAGGGTTGAACTGACGTTGGAACAAGACCAACGAGATGGTGGTTTGAAGATACATTTGATGTCAAGGGATTTCCAATTGGTGGTGATACTGTGAAGCCAGCTTGCTCCTCCTCCTCCTCCTGCTGCAGTTGTTGTTGTTCATGTTGTCCAGGCAGCTGCTCCTGTTGTTGCTGCTGGTGCTGCTGCTGCTGCAGTTGCGGCTGCTGCAGTTGCGGCTGCTGCAGTTTTTGTGGTTGTTCCTGCTGCTGCTGCTGCTGTTGTGGCTGCTGCAGTTGCTGCTGCACCTGCTGTTGCTGTTGTTGCTGTTGCTGTTGTTGCTGCTGTTGGTGTTGCTGCTGCTGTTGTTGCTGCACGGTTAGTAGCTGTTGCTGCTGCTGCTGTTGTTGCTGTTGCTGCTGCTGCTGTTGTTGCTGCTGCTTCTGTAATTTCTGTTGTACGGGTAGTAGCTGCTGCTGTTGTTGATGTTGTGGTTGTAAGTGTGGTTGTAGTTGACTACACTGTACACTTTGGTCCTGTAGCATAACGTACTGAGGAGGTTGTATTATGTAGGGCTGTAATGATCCTTGTTGAAGAGCTTCCACTACCGCATTGGACCCATACTCAGATGAAAAACTGTAGCTGGGTGGCGGGACCTCCGCTATGGCTGGTGCTGCTGGTGCTGCTGGTGCTGCGGGTGCTGGTGCGGGTGCTGGTGCTGCTGGTGCTGCTACGGATGCTAAAGATGCTATTGCTGGCACTGGTGATGATGATAGTGATCGTGCTGCTTGTGAAGAAGCTACTGCTACTGGTGTTGCTACTGGTGGTGATGATGAGGATGATGTTGATGATGATGTTTGGTTCAACGGTGACTGTGTGCTCAAGGAATGTGCATGCCGTTCTACAGATGCAGGATATTGCTGATGTCGTGGCTTTGACCTTACAGCTGATCTTCCTCTCACACTTCCTACTCGACTTTCTGGCAAAAGCGATGAAGAGGTGGTCATGGCTGATGACGCTCTTAATCCTCTTCTCGCCAACACAGCTGTCTTCTCAGTCGACCGTGTTTCTGGTGCAAGTCTCCGAGGAGGTGGCTGAAAACGCTTGTCATCACTTACTACTGCAGCCCGGGTTGATGCTACATTGGCTCGTGTTGTTACGGATCTTGCTGATTGGCTATTGGCTGCTCTGCGCGCTGATACTGTTGTTGTTGCTGTTACGGTGTCTGCTGTGGCTGACGGCAAAGTTTGTTCTTTGCCTGGATGATGTGGAAATGTAGAGGCAAGTTCTGGCGGCTGCTGCAAGAGTTCACCATGACCTGTACAGGGCGAATACACAACAAATGACATTCACATCCACATCCATGCACGCATGTGCGCACACACACACACACATACACACACACACATACATGCACACAGACACACAGACACAAGCGTGCACGCATACACCAGAAACCACCCGCACATGGATGAACGTCCACAAACAGGCAGACATACAAATGTCAAGTCAGGTTCTTGGCAATGCAGTCAATTCTGAACACAGGAATAGAGATGTGGACGAGGCCACATCAACACAGGGATAGAGATGTGGAAGAGGCCACATCAACACAGGAATAGAGATGTGGAAGAGGCCACATCAACACAGGAATAAAGATGTGGAAGAGGCCACAACAACACAGGAATAGAGATGTGGAAGAGGCCACATCAACACAGGAATAAAGATGTGGAAGAGGCCACAACAACACAGGAATAGAGATGTGGAAGAGGCCACATCAACACAGGAATAGAGATGTGGAAGAGGCCACATCAACACAGGAATAAAGATGTGGAAGAGGCCACATCAACACAGGAATAGAGATGTGGAAGAGGCCACATCAACACAGGAATAAAGATGTGGAAGAGGCCACATCAACACAGGAATAGAGATGTGGAAGAGGCCACATCAACACACTCATGCTTCAAATGACGGGTGTCCTCGGGTAGAAGGGTGCCTCTGCTACCCGTAATTAGAGCGGGTATCCGGGCAGCAGTTTGCTCCTGAGAACCTGATCGGGTAGTTGAAGTATGGTGTTTTCGCATCGGTGCATGTAAAAAACAGCATGGCTACATGCTTACTGTACACTTTCTATGCAGCACAAGTGTCCACTCACTGTACAACCTATGTACAAAAATACCCGATAGGGTACCCTTGCTACCCGGATAGAAATACCCGATAGGGTACCCTTGCTACCCGGATAGAAATACCCGATAGGGTACCCTTGCTACCCGGATAGAAATACCCGATAGGGTACCCTTGCTACCCGGATAGAAATACCCGATAGGGTACCCTTGCTACCCGGATAGAAATACCCGATAGGGTACCCTTGCTACCCGGATAGAAATACCCGATAGGGTACCCTTGCTACCCGGATAGAAATACCCGATAGGGAACCCTTGCTACCCGGATAGAAATACCCGATATGGTACCCTTGCTAACCGGATAGAAATACCCGATAGGGTACCCTTGCTACCCGGATAGAAATACCCGATAGGGAACCCTTGCTACCCGGATAGAAATACCCGATAGGGTACCCTTGCTGCCCGGATAGAAATACCCGATAGGGTACCCTTGCTACCCGGATAGAAATACCCGATAGGGTACCCTTGCTACCCGGATAGAAATACCCGATAGGGTACCCTTGCTACCCGGATAGAAATACCCGATAGGGTACCCTTGCTACCCGGATAGAAATACCCGATAGGGTACCCTTGCTACCCGGATAGAAATACCCGATAGGGTACCATTGCTACCCGGATAGAAATAACCGATAGGGTACCCTTGCTACCCGGATAGAAATACCCGAGAAGGTACCCTTGCAGCCCGGATAGAAATACACGATAGGGTACCCTTGCTGCCCGGATACAAATACCCGATAGGGTACCCTTGCTACCCGGATAGAAATACCCGATAGGGTACCATTGCTACCCGGATAGAAATACCCGATAGGGTACCCTTGCTACCCGGATAGAAATACCCGAGAGGGTACCCTTGCAGCCCGGATAGAAATACACGATAGGGTACCCTTGCTGCCCGGATAGAAATACATGATAGGGTACCCTTGCTGCCCGGATAGAAATACCCGAGAGGGTACCCTTGCAGCCCGGATAGAAATACACGATAGGGTACCCTTGCTGCCCGGATAGAAATACACGATAGGGTACCCTTGCTGCCGGGATAGAAATACCCGATAGGGTACCCTTGCTGCCCGGATAGAAATACCCGATAGGGTACCCTTGCTGCCCGGATAGAAATACCCGATAGGGTACCCTTGCTGCCCGGATAGAAATACCCGATAGGGTACCCTTGCTGCCCGGATAGAAATACCCGATAGGGTACCCTTGCTACCCGGATAGAAATACCCGATAGGGTACCCTTGCTAACCGGATAGAAATACCCGAAAGGGTACCCTTGCTACCCGGATAGAAATACCCGATAGGGTACCCTTGCTGCCCGGATACAAATACCCGATAGGGTACCCTTGCTACCCGGATAGAAATACAGAATAGGGTACCCTTGCTACCCGAATAGAAATACCCGATAGGGTACCCTTGCTACCCGGATAGAAATACCCGATAGGGTACCCTTGCTACCCGGATAGAAATACCCGATAGGGTACCCTTGCTACCCGGATAGAAATACCCGATAGGGTACCCTTGCTACCCGGATAGAAATACCCGATAGGGTACCCTTGCTACCCGGATAGAAATACCCGATAGGGTACCCTTGTTGCTGGATAGAAATACCAGATAGCGTACCCTTGCTGCCCGGATAGAAATACCCGATAGGGTACCCTTGCTACCCGGATAGAAATACCCGAAAGGGTACCCTTGCTACCCGGATAGAAATACCCGATAGGGTACCCTTGCTACCCGGATAAAAATACCCGATAGGGTACCCTTGCTACCCGAGTAGAATTACCCGATAGGGTACCCTTGCTACCCGGATAGAAATACCCGATAGGGTACCCTTGCTACCCGGATAGAAATACCCGATAGGGTACCCTTGCTACCCGGATAGAAATACCCGATAGGGTACCCTTGCTACCCGGATAGAAATACCCGATAGGGTACCCTTGCTACCCGGATAGAAATACCCGATAGGGTACCCTTGTTGCTGGATAGAAATACCAGATAGCGTACCCTTGCTGCCCGGATAGAAATACCCGATAGGGTACCCTTGCTACCCGGATAGAAATACCCGATAGGGTACCCTTGCTACCCGGATAGAAATACCCGATAGGGTACCCTTGCTACCCGGATAGAAATACCCGATAGGGTACCCTTGCTACCCGGATAGAAATACCCGATTGTGTACCCTTGCTACCCGGATAGAAATACCCGATAGGGTACCCTTGCTAACGGGATAGAAATACCCGATAGGGTACCCTTGCTACCCGGATAGAAATACCCGATAGGGTACCCTTGCTGCCCGGATACAAATACCCGATAGGGTACCCTTGCTACCCGGATAGAAATACCCGATAGGGTTACCTTGCTACCCGGATAGAAATACCCGATAGGGTGCCCTTGCTACCCAGATAGAAATACCCGATAGGGTACCCTTGCTACCCGGATAGAAATACCCGATAGGGTACCCTTGCTACCCGGATAGAAATACCCGATAGGGTACCCTTGCTACCCGGATAGAAATACCCGATAGGGTACCCTTGCTACCCGGATAGAAATACCCGATAGGGTACCCTTGCTACCCGGATAGAAATACCCGATAGGGTACCCTTGCTACCCGGATAGAAATACCCGATAGGGTACCCTTGCTACCCGGATAGAAATACCCGATAGGGTACCCTTGCTGCTGGATAGAAATACCAGATAGCGTACCCTTGCTGCCCGGATAGAAATACCCGATAGGGTACCCTTGCTACCCGGATAGAAATACCCGATAGGGTACCCTTGCTACCCGGATAGAAATACCCGATAGGGTACCCTTGCTACCCGGATAGAAATACCCGATAGGGTACCCTTGCTACCCGGATAGAAATACCCGATTGTGTACCCTTGCTACCCGGATAGAAATACCCGATAGGGTACCCTTGCTAACGGGATAGAAATACCCGATAGGGTACCCTTGCTACCCGGATAGAAATACCCGATAGGGTACCCTTGCTGCCCGGATACAAATACCCGATAGGGTACAATTGCTACCCGGATAGAAATACCCGATAGGGTACCCTTGCTACCCGGATAGAAATACCCGATAGGGTACCCTTGCTACCCGGATAGAAATACCCGATAGGGTACCCTTGCTACCCGGATAGAAATACCCGATAGGGTACCCTTGCTACCCGGATAGAAATACCCGATAGGGTACCCTTGCTACCCGGATAGAAATACCCGATAGGGTACCTTTGCTCCTGGATAGAAATACCAGATAGCGTACCCTTGCTGCCCGGATAGAAATACCCGATAGGGTACCCTTGCTACCCGGATAGAAATACCCGATAGGGTACCCTTGCTACCCGGATAGAAATACCCGATAGGGTACCCTTGCTGCCCGGATACAAATACCCGATAGGGTACAATTGCTACCCGGATAGAAATACCCGATAGGGTACCCTTGCTACCCGGATAGAAATACCCGATAGGGTACCCTTGCTACCCGGATAGAAATACCCGATAGGGTACCCTTGCTACCCGGATAGAAATACCCGATAGGGTACCCTTGCTACCCGGATAGAAATACCCGATAGGGTACCCTTGCTGCTGGATAGAAATACCCGATAGGGTACCCTTGCTGCCCGGATAGAAATACCCGATAGGGTACCCTTGCTGCCCAGATAGAAATACCCGATAAGGTACCCTTGCTGCCCGGATAGAAATACCCGATAGGGTTCCCTTGCTGCCCGGATAGAAATACCCGATAGGGTTCCTTTGCTACCCGGATAGAAATACCCGATAGGGTACCCTTGCAGCCCGGATAGAAATACACGATAGGGTACCCTTGCTGCCCGGATAGAAATACCCGATAGGGTACCCTTGCTGCCGGGATAGAAATACCCGATAGGGTACCCTTGCTGCCCGGATAGAAATACCCGATAGGGTACCCTTGCTGCCCGGATACAAATACCCGATAGGGTACCCTTGCTGCCCGGATAGAAATACCCGATAGGGTACCCTTGCTGCCCGGATAGAAATACCCGATAGGGTACCCTTGCTACCCGGATAGAAATACCCGATAGGGTACCCTTGCTAACCGGATAGAAATACCCGATAGGGTACCCTTGCTACCCGGATAGAAATACCCGATAGGGTACCCTTG